TAAACACCACTCAAAGTATAACAGGACTTTTTATAAGCATTAATTCTACAGATACTGGACTCATGGTTGCAGGGCCAGGTTATTTAGCAGCTTAATGAGCATGAATAAGTGCATTGAACACAATTAGGAAATGTGTTTTTTTTCCAACAGAGGAGCACTGAAGCTGTTCTGGAGACATTTTACTAAAAAGTCAATGTAGTTTGTCACCCAGCTGTATATATCAATGGACATGTTCTCTTAAAGAAGTCCAGGGGTAATCAGCTTACCAAAGAAATAACTCAAGCCTCATGAAAACATCACTTTATTGTGCATACAGTGCATAACAGTATGCATGTCCAGTTGTGGTTTGATTACATCATTGTAATTCTCTGTCAATTACAGTATAACTGCATTTGAACTCACAGTGATGCAACTAGTTCCCCAAAGCATGTGCCAAGTTTCTAATATTGTGGAAATGATGTTATTTAAAATCTAACATGGCCTGTAAGTTGAGGAATCTGGCAGATATCAGGTTTTGGCTGGACCCAAATGCATGACACAAACAGGCAGGATGAAAGTTGAAATTTTATTAGGACTTATCTTAAGGGAGGGGCAAGGCTGCTTCAGGGGCTGGGAGAGGCAGAGGAGCCAAACCTCAGGATGTTCTAAGAAAATTGCTTTAGGCACAAGAGGACCGTAGGACCGTGTATTGGCGAGAATCTGGGAATACGATGCGCATCATGATACAGGGCTTACGATTCAATATATTGCAATCAAAATAAGCAACACCACCATATGCATAAAATAGTTAACTTTTTATGCCATTAAGCAGGGATCATACATTTATCATAGTCCCGTAACATCAAACAGCATAGCGCTACTTGCCATGTGAAGTGTTAATTAAAAATCTATACAGTATTACACTTTGTGATATCGTATATCAATATTTTCTTGCACCCCTAGAATGGAAATGACTTCACTGGTGAGTACCTGACATGGAGAACTGCCAGGTGAGTAAGTGCTGCAGTGTGGGAGGCAGACACCACACAGCATGACCAATCTACAGAACACAAATTGAATATACACTTTACCAAGAATTAAAGTGATAGGTGCCTCTTTCCACAAGCAAGTCCATAACAGTGTGACCAGACCCAGCAAGTTTCCAGAGACCAGGGAGCTGAGGGGAGGGAAATATCACAGGCAAGCACAATTCTTATTCGCTTTGCAGGTGAACTGAAACGGGAGGCTCCTCCGGTATTGGAAAAATGACTGCAGAAACAGGGTAGCTGGTAACAGGTAAGAAACTCAAATCCTCTGTGTCAGGAGAGAACAAACAAAGAAGTATGCACAAGCACCAAAAATACATACAACAAAAAAAAGTCCTCTTCAGCTGAACTGAATATGAACTGAACTCAGAAAAATACAAAACCAGACAGCTCGATGTTCGAAATCCAAAACTCAGTCCAAAAGTCAAAACCAAGAAGGCACAGGCAACCTACAAACACAGTAGGGCTGAGGCAGGAGGAGAGTCGAAAACAGGAAGAGATCAGGTCAGGTAACAGAGTTGGGGGACAGCTGGAGAGTGCTGCACATTGCAAGTGACTGGCAACTGGTAAACAAGGCACAGGTGAGCTTAATCAGCTGCTGATATGAAGCTGGGACGAGTGTACTGGTGTAAACCCACAGGTCTCCTACAAAATAAAAGTGCAGGAAGCCAGGAACGAATCAAGACAGGAGCTTGTATTCTTATTATTCAAGTAGGTGGTTTTTGACATATTCTAATATATGTGCAGAAACATGCGCAACTGTAAACTGCTTTCTTGTTTCATTCCACCGATTCTGACATTCAAATGTTGTTTTTACTTACTTTCACTTACAGAATAAATAAGGAGTTAACACAATAGCTGTTTAGCACTGAATATCACAGCCAAAAATACTAGGTACTAAACTGTTATTTTAAGTATTTTAAAATATGAAGTAACTTATCAGTACATTTGTGGATGTATGGTCTCACCACAGCAATACTTAATTTTAACTTGGTGTAAATAATTTCATATGAATAATAGTATTAAACAAATTAGTACAGGCTGTCAGCATGAATGATTTGGCACTTCCTTTTCAACAAAATCATCAAACTCCTTTCAGTCTACTTCTCTTTCAATTTAGGTCCTTATTTGTTTATTTATGTTTTTCCTGCAGATTTTGTTTCTCCTAGACTTAACTCTCCTTAAGCTCAGTCTTGCCTCTGTCTTTATTTAGGTGGTGTTAAACATAAGAGTATCAATCTTTGACCCATATGATCTCATTTTGGTGTCCACAGTGGAATCTTTACCACTTGGCCAAACAATCCAGACTGAAAACAGTGAAGACTGGAGTTGTATTCAACCCCTCCAAACACTTCCAGCCTCCAAAATATTCCCTGTGATGTAGAAATCCTGCAATAGTGACATTCCTAATGGTATCATGTTTCTTTCTACTGTCATGGTGAATAGAACCTTCCCCCACACATGGTTTTAATGTTAGTCAGTTCAACAGTTTGGGAGGCTGACAAGTCAATTATATTTCAAGATACTGAAGCAGCAATTCTCTTATCAGTGACCTGTCAGCTTTGATCTAAGGATGGGCTCTGCTTGATAAACAGGGCTAACTAATGCTGCAGAGATCTGAAGTGAAGCTCACCACACCTCCGAGATGCAGTCTGTCTGATGCTCAGAGAAAACAGGTGAGCATCATATGACTGACTGTGTGGTCTATTTGCGATTCACATGTACAACAGCGGAGAAATCTGCATGAGTCCCCACATATAGTGAAGTCACTCTCATATGCATTCAGTTTTTACATCTTATTTATTTGTGTCTGATCATCTCCTTCCCTCTGTAGTCGAGTTTGTGTCACCACTAACTTCAGTGATGACAACTCCCCCACTAGTTTTAAACCCCAGATGCTCCAATCAAGTATTAGGAGCGACTACTACAACATCAAGGATGGCATGCCTTCACCAGCTTCTCACCAGTGAAAACAAGCAACAGGAAACATAAGTGAAAGTTAAAGTTCCGACCTTCCCTCCAGACTACCTGCTGTTGGTTTTTGGTTCTGAGAAACTGAGACCTGACCCTAGTTACCCTAATCGAGCTGAGTTCAAAGTCTGCTCAGTCTAATCGGATCGGGTCAGCCCTACTTTTACTGCTGCAGGACTCTAGTGTGTCAATATTTTGAGGCCAGAGGTAGAATGAGAACTGTGAACTTCCCAGCTCAAAGGAGCATTGCTCAGAAGAGGTAACTGAAGCTGAGCTTATTTTAAGAAAATCAGGCGCCTATAAGACATATGCTGCTGAATTACAGCTTATTTTGATTTTGATTGACCGATATTAAATTGTGTAGATTTCCTTTTGTCTAGCTATCGCCCACTAGGCCCACTGTTGATGCAGGAGATGGAAATAGACTTTCAATTATTTAGATAAATGAATGAGGCATATACATTTGTTATGAGTTTGAATGACTTTACATTAGTTCCTAATCTATTATTCTTTGTTATGATGCAATATTATTATAATAATAATTAATAATGTCTTATTAAGATCAATACTATTGGTTGCTAACATTTCATTCCATGCCTCATTGCTCTGCATAGCTAATGTGTGTAAAATGTGGTCAATTTCTGACGGCATTGATCTTTGTTGTTCTGTTGCTCTTTACGGATTTGTGTGGTTGTACAGTAACAGTGAATGTGGTTATTATACTGCTGCATCAGTGTTTTTGTTTCTTATGTCTTTATCTTCTTCTTCTGTTATTACTTCACTGGTTTTAGAACATCTGGCCAATGGACTGCAGTTTAAAAAAAATAGATACCACTTCATTTTGTGTTTTCATCACTCCACGTTCATCTAAGATGGTTTCTACCAGCTTCTGATTGACTGAACATACCTGATCCAGGTACTCAGCAGTTGGAAAACAACCAGAGCAGCAGCCCTTGAAGATTCTTTTGGCTGTTTTCACCACCAAGCTAGATGTATTACTAACTAACTCAGTCTGTGTAGTGATGAGGAAGTAACTTTATCACCAGTAACAGTCCCACTCATATACTGTACACTCATATGTAATGTTGTTAACTTTGTTTCCACTACTAATGCAGTCCCAACATTAACTTTAAAAGCACTCCACCCATTTTTATGTCAGTTTAAATGGTTCCTAAGCTCAGCAGACCAAATCTGAAGTGTAGGTGAGTGAGCTTCAGGAGAGTACAGTAACAGTATAATTAGTGCCATACTCAGTCTTATTGAGTCAGTTTAGCTCTAATTTTATAGCCACAGCTAGTTGGTCAATATATCTAATAACAAAATTAATCCAAATGATTCTGAACAAGCACAGCATCAGGTGTGTTGTGGTGGGGTGCTGAGTGCTAGGGGTGCAACACAAAGCAATCTTGCTGAATTATATGTATTCATTTGACAAGTACTTTTGTGGAAGTATTGTACAAATGAGGACCAATCCAAGTCAGCATTAACTAAGAAGACAAAGAGAATACAGGACATAACACTTCGTGTTCCACCTGACAAGTGCCACAGGGTTGCAGGCACAGGAACACATAAGTGCACAGCAAATTACTTTTTCTGACAGCGAGAAAGAGAGAGCATATTGAATATATACGAGTAAGTGCTCATGGAAAGGGTAGGTCTGGAAATGATTTTTGATTAAAGATGATTCTGCTGACTGAATCGTGATTGGTAACTGGTTCACCATCGAGAGACAATACAGAAGAAGAGTTGAGATTTCCTGCCTTGCAGTCATGGTAAAAGTAGTCATCATTCATTTACAAACCATAGTTACCGAGAAGGCTCATAAACCTCACTGAGGGAGTTCAGCTACTCTAAAGGAGAGCATTAGTGAGTTCAACTTAATATGAGCAGAAACAAGGTGGAGAGTAATGGCCAGCATGGTGACGTGAGCTGTGTTTGGCTTGTTGTAGATCTGAGGTGCAGCCCCATTTCGGACTGTGTGCATACTGGCAGCTCTGCCAGAAGGTGTTAAAAGTTGCCATGCTGAAAACAACCAATGACAATGACAGTACAAGGAGTTGAGCAGAATACTCAGTCAGAAAAGACCTGATCTTTCTGATGTTATATAGTGATAGTGTGGTTATAGAGTTGATGTGGATACTAGCTTTGTGCTGTACAGATGCACCGGCTGGGATCACCAGGAGTTCAGTCAGAGAGAGAAGCTGAGTTGCTATTTTAAAAATCTAAAAAGCACTCTTGGCCATTTGCATGTAGTTTTACCACAGCCCCACTGTAACTTTGACATTTTCATATTCCCTTTCATCTCACTCACTCTTTACCTCATTCTCCTTTCCATTCTCTCCTGTTCCCTCATCTGCCCCGTGACCTGACCTCATCTCCTCCCCCAGGTTCACCCATTTCCTTTCTCCTCCTCTTTCTATTCACATCAAAGCTGAAGATATTGTAGGTGCTAGTAAAGGATGTAAGAGAGGGAGAAAGAGCTTTCACCTTTAAGAAACATTCTGCCATTAATAAAGAGATACCCGGTCTTGTAGATACATTATTCATATAGAGGCCTCTCTGTTTTCACTCAGGAGGAATAAATATCTTTTAATTTACACCTCCCTCTACTGCTCCCTTTTCCCTCCTTTCCCCTCTCATTCCCTCTGATCCTTCACCTTCTCTTGTCTTCTCTGAGGGATTTCTTTACAAAGCCAAGCAGTGACATTATGCTGTGTTAGCATTTAGTTTAAACATGTGCCCAAGGCTGAGGCGTGCCCTGTTTAAAGACACAATAACACTAATCTATTCACCCGAGGCGGCAGTTTACATCCTCACACACACACACACAGTATTTGTTTTCTTTCCTTATGGGGACTTTACAGTACACTGGCTTACATCCCTTTCCTGGAGACTTACCCTAATCTCAATCAAAGCCAACACTTGCTCTAACTTTACACCCTGTGCTTTTGTAAAATTCAGCCAACTACATCACGGGGCCTCCGGTATCTACAAGTGATGCTGGTCACCTCCATACTAGTGTGCTCCTGGTTTTCTGTCCCCACAGGTATAAAAAAACCAAGGCCACACACGTTTTCCTGGGAGCACATAGTATACACTGTAATACACAGAGTGTGTAGTGATAAGGAATTCTGTGTGACAACTTTCACCAATACAATATGTCTTTTTAAAGGTTGATATCAGCTGTATGGGAGAGAGGGGGTATTCACTGAGGATCTCTAGTCCTATACTGCAGGTTGAGAAAGCAAATAGAAGACAGCTTAGTAGTTAGGCCATGTCCAATGTTGTGGATGTATATACATTTTTAATTTCTTAGCCTCCATCTGCAGTCAAACTCTAAAAATCATAAATAAGCTATTGAAGTCTATTTTTCTGCAAGGAATAATTTTGATGCTGTTTTCATCCAAGAAATAAAACTGTTCAGCATCTGGTAAAGGGTCTGGTCGGATGGACACACTGTTTGATAAACTGTCTTTTAGTCTTTGAGGAGACTCTGTGATGGGGTCATTTTTTTTGTGTTCAGTCTTTTTCCAGTAAGAACTATTATGACAAAATGAAAAGTGGCTGAGAGCTACTGACATCTTATATTGCTAGTTACATTTATTCACATCAAAACACTCAAAGTTCTCCAATCCGAACCAGTCTTTTCGTAAAAAGACAAAGGTACAAGCATGTGGACATAAAAACTACCAAGGAGCTAATCAGAAATAAACACTCAACCCCCAAGCTTAAACTTACGTTTTGTAAAACATTAAAGAAAGTAACATTTTCACACAATGACTTGATAAACTAGGATGTAACATTTTTACCCAACTCTTTCTCAGTTTTTCTCAATTCTGAATTCATCAAATTCAGTGCTCGGGTCTGTACTTCTGGGTGCAGAGCTCCAGACCTCGAGTGATCGATCGCAGTTTGCAGCCAAATTTATTTATGGTGTGAATGAATTTTTTTCAAAGGTGACACTGTTTGCGACTGTGTTAGGGTGATTTTTATTTTATGCACTTAAGAATGGTTTTATTTTATAGCACACACAAGTTTACATACTTACATGTCACAGATATGTTTATGTAGTTATTTTTCACCCAATTATATGTTCACTAACATAAAGAGAAAATAAGTTTTTTGTAGGAGACACTGAAAACTTGTGTTATATTCCAGGCTCTTATGACTAAAAAGTCTGGTGCGCTGAGTGGTTTTCCAAGGTCTAATCATCCCACAGGTTTTCATTAGATTTGTTGCCTTTTCCTAAAGGAGCCCATTATTCCCTCTGGTCCTTGAAGCAGGGGAGTTGAGGTTTGATAAGATACTAAGAAGCGTTATGGGCTGTGCAAAGTGTCTGTTTCAGGACAAGGTCGCGCCAGTGACGAGACCAGGATGGGGGACCAATGACGGGAGAGTTAAGTCTAAACCACAGCTTCTCCCCAACAGTTTTGGACCAATTAGATAGTAGCATTTTTTCATACAAATATTGTATACCAACCAGTTGAGGACAGTCTTTTCCTGTTTTATCCTAAACAGTGAAGATCCATGTATACATGCTAATTTTGATACGTTAATGCATAATAAATTTCACATTGAGAAATATATATCCTCTTATCAGTCTTCTCTTTTCAATATAAAACGAACAGCACCACAACTGCAAAGCAAACAGTTTATGCACAAATAACTGTTCTTGGTGTAAAAATAGTGGACAGACGTAACAATCTCTGTGATACTGTCATTGCAACGTTTATCTGTAAAGTGTTCCATAATGTCGCCTCACAGCAACAAGGTTCTGAGCCCGATGCCTTTCTGTGTGGCGTTTGCATGTTCTCCCTGTGCCTGTCCGAGTGCTGTGGCTTCCTCCCACAGTCTAAAGACATGCAGGTTAGGTTGACTCTAAATTGCCCGTAGGAGTGTGTCTATATGTCAGCCCTGTGATAGTGTGTACCTCGCCTCTCGCCCAGTGTCAGCTGGGATTGGCTCCAAAACACATTGGATGGTAAGGGTATTTAAAATAATTTACAAAAAAATTGTCTTCTGTATTACATTGGTGGTGTCACCAAATCTGGCACTGGTGCCACCATCTGAAAGACTAAGTGACACCGGTGGCACCAGTATGAAGTGTTGGTCAGGAGACCTGGGGTGACTGCTTCCCCAAAAATGGAGGTTGCAAAAGTGTTCAGGGAAACTATTTTGTTTAAGGTCATCCACCTTAAATTATTTAAATCTGTTCTGAATGGCCACACTAGAAGCCTGCCATTATCGCCTCCTTCTGATTGTATCATGCTGGTTCTCCGATCTGTCTCTGAACAAGTTGTTTGTGTGTCTTTGTAGTTCCTTAACAGTGATTCCTACAAATTGTGTAGCATCTTACACTATTTCAAAGGCTGTCCACTTTCATACTGCTGCACACCTGGCCAACCACTGCATAAGGTGAGCATCTTTGTTGGATTGTTTTTGGAAAGTTACAAAAGTCGTTGGGCTCTCAGTAAAATCCTCCCACATTACACAACAATCATACCTTCAGTCAGACATGAGAGAAGAGCAGTAATCATCAACATACTGATCAGTTGTGGTCAGACTCGGGACCTTTTCACTAAAGATTTTGCCATTTACTGGTAGCTTTCAGCCATATCAGAGCTGCACTGACTTACTGCTGCTGCAAACCAAACCTTTCATGCTGTTGCTGTTTCACATTAAAAGTTTTCCACTGGCAAATGTTTATTTTAAGACATTATAGAAAATGCAATCTGTTTATCCCCAAGTTAGAAGAACTTCATTAGCTGTTCAGGTAAACAACTTTCCTCGCAACTACACCCCCTCACAATGGGAAAATCCTATGAGCCTAATCCTGACTGTGCACCTGTGATTGTACCTGTTTCATTCAGTGTAATTGCCTGAGGTCAGTGCAAAACAGAACAGTGTCTTTGTTGTTCCTCTTGCTTGCAGACCGATTCATAATAATGGCTGTGACCTCTCCTGGCCCCACAGGCCGACCTCATCCACTTCTGCTAATGTTCCCCACCTTCAACCAACCAATCAGGCGACGGGACTCTGCTTTGAGGGGTTAATGAATCACAATCAGCAGGGTGACTCACAGATGTCTCTGGGGTTACCATAGCAACTGTACTCTAAGCATGTGTCACCTCTAAGCACCAGTAATGTCAATCATCAGAGATGCTATTAGGCCAAAGAGTAGCCGCTGCCTTCTTCTTCAGCTCAGCCTTTCTGTGTGTTTGTGTGTGTGTGTGTATGCATGTAGAACTGGATGTTGCAACCTGGCTTCCTTGTTTGGCTGTGTGCTGATCTGAATCTTTGTTTTGTTTATTTGATGGTGTTAAATGATTGGTCATACACAGACTGCTTCTGAATGATAATCAAGAAGACTTACTTTGAGCATGGGTGTATGTGTATTCATACTGTATGTGTGTGTCATTTGACATTCTCTCAGCCAAAAACACTGGCAAATGATAGAGCATTACCTGTGGTACCACAGTGCCCCCTGCAGGAGAGAATCACCTTGAAATTTACAGCAGTATTAAAGATAGATCACTTCAGATCAATGATTCCTAATGTACAAACTGGTGCTCATTAAAGAGGAGGGTTAACATTACTCTTAGATCAGATTAGAATAACAATCAAATACAGCTGATAAAAGAGTGATCCCCATGGAAAACCATGTTGTTTAATGATAATAGTTGAATGTAGCCAAGTTAACCTGCCAGAGAGCACATGGGCAAAAATATAACAACCTCCCTTGTTCTGTCTGTTTCCCTGCTTACTGTGTATTTATCCTGTTGCCTTTGAGTATCCATCATGTACAGTCTTCTTCAGGCTGTGGTTTGGATATATAATTATTTATGCAAAACTAACTTATTTTAAAACTAACATATTTGTATGTGTATAGAAATACAGGACTGTTCAGTAATTTACTGTATATTAAACACACATTTATTTGTGGGCAGTGTTAACTGGGGTTTATCTTTTCTGCCTTCTGCTGCTGAAAACAAGGCTGATGTGAGCAGAGTGGTGTTAATTGTGTCACCAAAAACTAGAACCAAATATATTCCTTTTCTACAACAAAAATAAGACCAAAGCTAAATAAAAAGAAACACTGAAAACAATTAATCTTTACAAAATGCTGTAAATTGCAGATAAATGAATGAAAACTAAATGATAATGTGATCGAGGGACAACTGAAAAAATTAACTTATTACTTTTTTTTTTAATTCAAGCTGCTGCTCAACAACCTGCAGCAGAAACACACGCTGCAAATCCCACTTATTTTAACTGTTTTCCACCCAAATAAGAAGCATCTCACATTCAGTAATTTTTTGTCTCTGTCAGTAATGCTATCTGAGGTCTGCCAGGTCTTGGAAGAAACTGACTCATGGCCTAAATTCATCTACAATCTCCAGAGAAACAAGCAGGAAGCTGCAACAAAACAGCTGAGACAAACAAAAAAGACGGGCAGCAGGCAGAGCTTTATAAAAGATACACTCGCATAATATTATCACATGTAACATTGACATTATTTTCATCCAGCTATACTATCATCTATCTGAAGGAATGAGCAAGATCTAGGACTAATGCCATCAGCCAGCCTTTGAAATCTTCTTCTAAATGTGTTTAGATTATCTGATAATTTAGCTTCTCCACTCCAGCTACACTCAGACGCTGAATAGTGTGCAGCCTCTAAATAATTTGTTGCTCTGCAGAGAAGAACACGGGTAATTGTACAACTACAACATGTCCCCTAACCGAAACAACCATTGGAGTGTCTCCTGAAATAGCTTCCCTCTGGCAACAGGTCTGCCTGACCTTTGTCATCAGGGCTAGAACCCTGACAAGAACTGCAGAGTTGCTATTACTGGGAATGTGTTCATAAGTATGAGTGGCACATTTCACATGCACATAGATATTTGAGCCATTATTAGTATAAAAATATTGATTACTGCAGCTTTAAAAGGTATTAAAGCTACACTGTGCTGCAGGACCCCTCTACAGAAGATGAGCTCAAGACAGCATATAATAAATAATACTGTACATACAGAATAAACAGCAGTTCTAGTATGTTTAAGGAGCTATATAATGTACCAGCATTAGCTAGTGCCAGTGAACACATATAGTATCATGAGTACGATGGTGTGTACATTTAGTGTGTCAGTCACTGCAGTCTGCAGAAGTGCAGCCTCCGTCTGATAATAATGGGAGTTACAATAAGTGAGGGGGAGATCATATAAATATTCCTGCAGTGTCTCTGTTCCTCTGTGTCTGCACAGCCTCAGTGGCGCTAACATCATCGCACAGGTTAGAAAATCACTGGCAGTGTTCACTGCCTCTCTCTTTGTTCTCTTGTTTAATGAGTGGAACATTCTTTTACTTACCTCGTCATGAGTAAATCAATAGTCAACTAAAAGACGGTCCCATTTAGCAAGGTGACTGCTAAAGGCAGCAAACTATCGATCTGTCTAAATGAGCTTCGCCAAACTTTATAAAAAAAAAAAAAAGAGGGGAAGAAGTGTGTCACTGCGTCCTTCTATACACACAGTTTAGACAGCATACAAGAAAGATATCAAGTCAGAATGAGAATTGATGATTGGTGGAGGAGTGAAAAGTGGGCTGATTCACAGAGAAATCTCTGCTCTACACAAACTACAGCACATCAACATGTTAAAAGGAGCTCAGTGAAGGGTGAGCAGCCAATTTAATAAAGGTTTTATCTTCATTACTTTGTTAGGAACCGACTGATATCAAGGGAAATATACTTATTTGTCATCTTAGTGTTGGAATAGCAGTGTGTCTTTGCCAACACTGGACCAGGACATTTTTAGCTGAACATAGAGGAAAAGTGCTCTCCAGCAAATCTACCACAGCTGTCCTCTTAACACATTGTTTCTTGTTGACCATCAGGCTTGTCCACAGTACTTTCAAGAGTCATGGTTTTGTTCGAGTGCACAAATATGGCAGCCCAACTACAACTACACACATTCCCTCTATGTGCCCAGAAACAACTGAAACGCCTCCAGTATTTACTTAAAACAAACTCTCATTCAACAATCTCTAGGTCTACAAATGTGAAATAAAGGCCCAGTGTGAACAAATTAGGCAGCTGCTTGAACAAGATTATTTGAGTTAAGCACATCCTAAAAAGATTGTGGTGGAGACAGAGACAAAACTTCTATCCATCATACATCATCTCACTTGACCCATATGCTCATAAACTCAGCAAAACAATTTCCCAAAATACCAGCTGTTCTTTGGAAATCAGCAAATACTGTATCTAAATGGCATCTATATTTTAAAATCTGATTAAGATGAGAAAGCAGCAATTGAGATAGCGCATACAGCCTTCAGTGAAAGATTATTTCCACGGTGTTTAAACACTAAAGTGCCATAGCCATTGGAACCAATAAGATTATCTGTAATTCTTCTAAAATCACACATCTGCTTATTTCATGGCATTATATTGAACACTGTTTTTTTGTTTGTTTGTTTGTTGTTGTTTTTGTTTGGGGGGGGACAGAAAATTTGACTTCAAAACAGAAAAAGCAGGTGAGTTGAAATAATAATAATAAGTGTCCCAGGAAGTTAAGTCAGTGCATCAGAATGCACAATACCAGATGCCTTGAACTGGGACAAAAAAGTGGAATTAAGTTGTTATCAGTGTTATTAATAATCAGTCTTCCTGTAATGACTGGTTAAAATAACCTGTTGGCATTGTATTTTGTCAAACCTGGATTACCAGCAAGCAATGGACTGGCAGCACCAGACCTTTAGGGACCCCAAAGGCCCCAGGTCAACTGTGTGACAGATGGTTTCTGGTACAGTAGCTTGACTGAGCGTACATTTGTCAGAGAAACTGGCAACACTAAATTACACAGTCAGCAGAAATGACAGGGGGCATACGGTGGTGATTACTACCTGAGGCCCTGTCAAAATGGTGATCTTTATTATTTCTCTTGATATTCCTTGATAGCTAGTGGTGGACAAAGTACTAAGATCCTTTACTTGAGTAATAGCACCAGTGCAGCAATGTCAGACATTACAAGGACATTACATGACCTGCATTCAAAGCTCTCCTCAAAAAGAACAAACAAACACAAGTATTATCAGTTAATATTAAATAAAAAGTACTTGTTATTCAGAAAAATGTCATGTGACTAACAATATGCGTTAATAGTGTATAGAGGACATTAGCCTGTTAGATTATTAGTACTGACTGATCAATGTGCAAGTTTTTATGTTTTAAATGCTCTGTGTATGTTTTAATGGTGAGCTTTGTTAGATAGGCCCATCTAGGGGGTGCGTGGTGAACTAGTTTAGGATATATGAAAAACCTGAGATATGTAGCATTTGTTCATGCTGAATACACATACATTATAATTAACTTAATCAGTTTTTTTACAGTAGTTGGTTGAGGCTGGGTTAATGGCACAGTTAGGTAGTTTTGTCCTAACATCTGGGTCTGAGGTCTGAGGGGCTATGAAAAAATGAAAAAACAAAATCCTTACAACCCCGCACCCCCACCCCTAGTATCTCCTTGTGTCCATCCCAAAAAAAAACTACAATTGTGCCTCCTTATCAGCACTGCCATATGCTTTCCACTTTTTCCTCTCACCTTCCAGCTCAGCTCTTCCCTGAGCTAGTCTTTTAGTCAAGTCTCTCCTCAACAATACACTGGCTTCTATGATCAAGAATCAATAGTGCAGATTTTGGTGAGTGACTTCAGGTAATCCTGTAGACCCTGCAGTCGAGCACTGTGTGGGGTGAGGGAAAACACATCATCACTGAGCGTGCTCAAGACCAGTCATTACCAATCAAACCTCAGAAGAGTCCACAGAATCCTCTGCCAAAGAAAATTGTTTCCTTAGGTGGAAAGTACGCCTTAAATGAAATTAGCCTGAGAGGAAATAAAACACCTTGCTGACGGTGTTTGTCATCTCCCAACAGAACAAATGTCCATGGTAAGTAAATGTTTGGAATTAAAACAGTGTGAAAAGATTCTTCTGAAGTGACAGT